GGATTATATGACTTTTTCCAGTGGATTACAGACTCTGTTTTCAAGGGGTTAAAGCATTGCTACAATGGAATTATCGAGACGATTGTGGAATTACCTTGACTTTTGTTTTCCTTGCTGGATTACTTTTGACTTTTGTTTTCCTTGCTGGATTACTCTTGACTCTTGTTTCTTTGCTGGATTACTTCAAGCTTCAAGGACAATCGAAGACGTAAGTTCATAGTTGGAATTCATCCCCATGGACAGGTGATGATTTCCAAAGGGGGGACTGTAGTGAACTTAATCTGGTGTCACGACTAAGCCTAAGGTCAAAACCCTTGACCTTAAGAACCTTGTGGGACAGAAACTGTCATTTTATTGATTTGAATCCAGAAATACAGGTTCACCCATCCTGAGACTTTCTTTCTTGAAGATTCAAGTGAAAAGAACACTCTCTTTTTTATTATCATTACTATTTTACAAATGTTGATAATCAAAGTGTCTTAGTTCAAACCATTTTAGATGTTGCAGTGAACTAATCAATTTTATTAACTGTGTAATGATTTTTAAATTCTCATGCAAAGTTAGAATTCATGTTGAGGTCTGTTACAGATAATTATGCATTTTCTGATTTTCTGTCTTTGAATGAGCAAGTGTAAGTTGGTCCAAGGTTGGAGTCAAACGCAAAACAAGTTGTTGGAACGAACTGTCATGTTTTTAGAATCCTCTCAGACGTAAATATAGAGGTTTTGGCACCTGTTTCTGAAACGCGCCAAAACAAAACTCTCTCTGTCTGTGAGAACATTTCTGATCTTTCCATAACAATTCTTGCTGCATTCTAACCTTTTACGTCACAAAACACACCCCGTCTGGTCGGTTCTGGCCAATGGGAGACTCCCGTATGAACCGGGAAAAGGGCTCTTTAAAATGTCGGTATTTCCTGGTCTACTCAGATCTGAAAACTACTCAGTTCTGCTGGAGTTCTGTGAGGGTTCCACTCGGTTCGGTTGAGTTCAGTTCTGTTCAGTTCTGTGCGGAGAAGCCCAGTTCTGGGAGACGGGAAGATCCTGACATGACAACAGAGCTCTTCCGAGTCATGGGAATATAACACTTTCCACTCGCCACTACTTCTGACGAGCTACAGCCATCCTAAGGAGACGCTGGACAGGTAGCGTTAACGGAACTCCATATCTGCTGATTAATCTCAGAAAGGTAATGAGTCAAGTTTCCTACCAAGCGTACCGAGGTGAGCTGGGTTCTGATGGAGAGTGTCGGTTCTGGTGAACACTTCCCCTCACATACCATCTTTACTCCCTTTAACTTCTTTCCCATCTTTAAACTTTTCTCTCAAGTAGAAATTCTTCCAGATAATTTAGAAATGTCTGTGTAAAGTGCTCATCCCCATCCGTGTGGGTAAAAGATCATAAATGTACAGTTTTCATAAATGTCTGTGGTGAAGCAACAGAAAAATCATGGCCGTATGATTTTTCCTGATTGATTGATTATGTTGTTATTTTCATAATTTGCCAAATTAATGTAAATGTTTGATGTTAAACTTTGATTCTGTAAATAAATGACCGCATTCATTTTGATGGGTCAAATATAAATGACGTCTCACGTTTGCATTTCATTAAATTCAATGCACGTTTTATTCAGTTCAGAAAAATGAGGAATCCGCGTTAATTGATGAATATATCAGAGCATCTGTTCATCTACACAACTACAGGGGAATTAAGTTGATGCGTCACACAATGAAGATCTGGGAGAGAGTTGTGGAACCAAAGAGGACCACAGATGTCATCTTTACTTTGAGAATGCTGATGGAAAAGTATGGAGATGGTCAGAAAAAAATTCCATTTTGTCTCGTGGATTTAGAAAAACCATATGACAGGGTGCCAAGGGAGGAAGTGTGGTTTTGCATGAGGAAATCTGGAGTGGCAGAGAAGTATGTTAGACTGGTACAGGACATGTATGAGAACATCAGGACAGTGATGAGATGTGCAGTCGGAGTGACAGATAGCTTCAAGGTGGAGGTGAGATTACAAGGATCAGCTCTGAGCCCCTTCTTGTTTGCTTTGGTGATGGACCGACTAACAGATGAGGTCAGGCAGGAATCCCCATGGACTATGATGTTTGCAGATGACATTGTGATCTGTGGTGAGAACAGGGAACAGGTGGAAGATAACTTGGAGAGGTGGAGGTATGCACTTGAAACAAGAGTAATGAAAGTCAGCCGTAGTAAGACAGAGTACATGTGTGTGAATGAGAGGGAGGCTGGTGGAACAGAAAGGTGCAGAACTTCAAGTACTTGGGGTCCACTGTCCAGGAAAATGGGGAGTGTGGGAAAGAGGTTAAAAAGAAAGTCCAGGCAGGATGGAGTGGATGGAAGAAAGTTTCAAGAGTGATTTGCAACAAAAGGTTGTCAGCAAAGGTCAAAGGAAAAGTTTACAAGACAGTGGTGAGACCAGCTATGTTCTATGGTGTGGAGATAGTCACACAGACAAAAAGACAGGAGTAATAACTGGAAGTATCAGAGCTGAAGATGTTGAGGTTCTCCTTAGGAGTGACAAGGATGGATAAGATTAAGAATAAGATCATCAGTGGTACAGCACAGGTTGAACAACTGGGAGATAAAGTTAGAGAGGTCAGACTGAGCTGGTTTGGACATGTCCAGAGGAGGGTCAGTGGGTATATTGTTAGAAGGATGTTAGAAATGCAGCTGCCAGGAAAAAGACAGAGGATATATCTGGATGCAGTTGGAGAAGACATGGAGGTAGTTGGATTGAGGAGAAAGGACGCAGAGGACAGAGTGAGCTGGAGAAGGATGATTCGCTGTGGCGACCCCCTGAATAGGGAAAAGCCGAAAGAAGAAGAAGAAAATACTTAAACATTTCTCATTAAAAACTCGACAGGGACATTTTGTAAATTGTTGTAACACAAAATATTTTTTGACACTTTCTAAAAATTACACGAAACAGAAAGAAGAAAGGTAAAAACAAAAATAAAATTATTCTCCATCAACCTGTTAAGATTTAGTTTTTGCATGTACGGACCAACTGAAGCACAGTTGTTTATCAATAATATATGTTTTCATAAAGCATTTTAAAGCAGTTTTTGTGAACAAACAAGGGCCAAAAGCAAAATTATTTTATTAACCTTTATTTAACCAGGCAAGAACCATTGAGATAACAGACCTTTTTTTGCAAGGGAAGCCTGGGCCTGAATGGAGTCTAAGATGCATGTTTATGGAACAATTACAACAACACTAAAAGTAATTAAATAACGGTCCATAAAAATGTTGAAAGCAAGTACATAGCCTGAAATTAGAAATTAAAACAAATAAAAAAATGATGAAACAGTTTAGCTAAATGTTTAATCCAAAAAATATGTTTTCCAAGTTTTCAGATGTTCGTCCATCCATCCATTATCTTTACCCGCTTCTTCCTTTTCAGCTCACGGGGGTCACTGGTGCCCATATCCAGCTATCACTGTGCGAGAGGCAGGGGACACCCTGGACAGGTCTCCATCACAGGGACACATAGAGACAAACGAGACAAACATCCATTCACTCTCTCACTCACATCTAGGGACAATTTAGAGTTACCAATCAGCCTAACATGCATGTTTTTGGTCTGTGGGAGGAAACTGGAGTACTCAGAGAAAACCCATGCACGCACGGAGAGAACATGCAAACTACACCCAGTATGGCCTCCCAGCCAGGATTTTATCCGGCGGCCTTCTCGCTGAGAGGTGGCAGCTCTACCAACTGAGCCACTGTGTCGCCCTCAGATGTTCCTATAGATGTTTAAAATATTTTGGACAAGCACACCAACTTCCAAAATCACAATCTCATAGATTTGTGTTTAGCTCTTGGACCATTTGGTTGGTTATTTATTTTATCTACATCAGGTGTTCAATCCAGGTCCTCAAGGGCCAATATCCTGCACGTTTTACTTGTTTCCCTGCTCCAAAACACCTGAGCCAGTGGTTGAATTACCTCTTTATGTTCAGCAGAAGTCTACTAATCCCTTATTGATTCAAATCTGGTGTGTTGGGTTAGATAAACTTCTAAAACCTGCAGGATAGTGGCCCATGAGTATCAGGAGTGGACACTTAAAAGTCCTATCTTTGGTGGGACAAGGCTAGATCAATAGGAGCTTTAAGAAAAAACAAACAAACATAATAAATCCAGCAATTAACAGGAAGCCAGAGAAGTGAAGCCAATACTCACAGCTACATGTTTGTTTCCTTATTCTGTAAAATCAGTATGTATTGTATAGTATGTGCAGTACATCTACAGTATATGAAGGACATTCAGCAGAATTCACTATACGGTGCATGGTAGTTTGAACATGTTTTAAGTTCCTGTTCATTTTGTTTTCTTCTCAAGGACAGGAAGTAACTGTGTCAGCTGGTGAATGCAGCAAAGTTATAGTAATTACATTAGTATTTTAAAAATATCTTGAGGAATTGACAAATTGTGGAGCCATTAGCAGTCAGCACGTCAAGGAATTTCTGAGAGCAAAACCAAACTGATAGCAACTCCCGTTAAACGGGTTTGTCAACTTTGCTACAGTCGTCCTACTGTATTTACACTAATCCATAAAGAAAAGTCCTGATTAGAGTCACTTTTGTAGTTCACTTGGAACCACAACGTAGGTGTGACAACACGTGATCCTGGCTGGATAAAAGCATCGCATTGTGGAGCGACAAAAAGCATTCAAGTGTTACACAGTACATACACCATGTGTTTGTAGGGGCATGTTAAAACCTGGTGTTTGAATTTAAAAAGAGAGTAAACATACACCACGAGATAGAGATATTAATAAAAAATAATAATTATTTAAAACACAACATACTGTAAAAAAGTTTGCCTAAAATGTATTCCTTTAAAAAAAATAACTCCTACACTGATGAGCCATGGGCTGTTTACTTTATAATCCTTGTTCCATTATTATACTTATTAACCTTGTTTTACACATCAAGAAGACTTTAGCGGAGACTTAATTCTTAAATATCAGAGTGACGTGGTATTTGAAGGGGGTTCAGTTGGATGTGGGACTCTCTTGTTGCATCAGGCTGTTTGCAGGTATCTGGCAGGAGGGCTGTGTCAGGTCCTGGATGCACTGAAGGATCCTTAAAACCCTGAAAACAAAGGAGTTTTATTAAAGTAGGTGCTCTCATCTAAAATATTACTTTAAAGCTATGAAATCATCTGTCAGTAAGATAGTTGTATAGTATTACATCTAGTTATTTTTACGTTCAGAGTGAGTTGAGGTTGTAAAATAACAGCCATTAATTTTTACTTCTATACTTTGTTAAATAGCTGGTTTGTCCATAAGTATCACATGAGTGTCAAAACTTTGAAGTACATTAGGCTGCTCCTCAATGTTAGAATTAGAAGCCGGGCTTCTTTTGTCCCCCATCACTGAGGGCCAATGGCGAATTAGAAATACCATCCACCCTTGTTAGCATCCATGCTGTGATCGGGATAACTTAAAAACCAAGCGAGGTACCGACTTTCCACGTTAAAATCCAAGATGGCCACCACCGTATTCATATATGTATACCAGCTACCCTTATCATCTGAGGAAACTATTTTTTCTAGATTTTAGATTGCTTAAAATTATAATTTACTCAAATGACTGGGGTGGTCGGTGGGTTGAATTATCTGTGGTGGCCAAGGCCACCATTGGCCACCACAGATAATTGTATCCACTATCAGGTTCAATGGCGGTAAAATTGCTCTCCCAGCTTGTCAGGATCAGTCACTCTGTACTGCCAGGGAAACAAAAAAACTACTATTTTCTTATGCACAGTGTAACTTCTACTCACTTTGATATTTTGCACCAAAATATTAAAGATTAATTGCATTCCCTGTTCTATTTCAGTTCAGAAAAACACTCATCTCAAAAATGAACATTCTGTTACATCCTTACATTCTCCTGATTAATGTAAGTCTGAATTCAATCTAACTCCATTATTGTGGTGCAACGGTCAAAAATTTTTCTTTAATGAAATGCCACAAAATTTTGCAATGTGAGAATTTTTTTTTTTTACTGTCACTTACGGGTCATTGTCTGTACAGGTCCAACGGAAACCTCTGGACTGAAGGATTTGGATCAGATCTAAAATTGATCCTTGATTACAGGATTCTCTGTAGAAAAGGACAAAAACGTCACAATGTAATTACGTTTTCTTCACGGATATTATTATTTGATCAGGAATTTGTAATTTGTAACTGATGGTTCAATAAGGGAGTGATGATGGGTTATGAAGTTTAACGTATGGATAATTGTGACTGGCGGCACAGTGCGACAGTGGTTATAGTTGTCTTCACTCAGATAGAAGGTTGCAGGGTTGTCTTTTGACCTTGAAGTCTTTCCGGGTGTTTGTACATTCTTATGGCGCACTCGTGGGTTTTCTCCAGTTTCCTCCCACAGATCAAAAACAGATGCTAGGTCAGTTGTGAACTTGTCCCTAAATGAGTGTGAAAAGTTATTCACCTCACAAGAACAGCTGCACTCAGGAGTTTTCATCATATTTTCATTCTGATCTAAGTGTGTTTTGATGTACAGGTCCTTCTCAAAAAATTAGCATATTGTGATAAAGGTCATTATTTTCCATAATGTAATGATAAAAATGAAACTTTCATATATTTCAGATTCATTGCACACCAACTGAAATATTTCAGGTCTTTAATTGTTTTAATACTGATGATTATGGCATACAGCTCATGAAAACCCAAAATGCCTGTCCCAAAAAATTAGCATATTTCATCCCACCAATGAAAGACAAGTGTTTTTAATACAAAAAAACGCCAACCTTCAAATAATCATGTTCAGTTATGCACTCAATACTTGGCCGTGAATCCTTTTGCATGAATGTCTGCTTCAATGCGGCGTGGCATGGAGGCAATCAGCCTGTGGCACTGCTGAGGTGTTATGGAGGCCCAGGATGCTTCGATAGCGGCCTTAAGCTCATCCAGAGTGTTGGGTCTTGCGTCTCTCAACTTTCTCTTCACAATATCCCACAGGTTCTCTATGGGGTTCAGGTCAGGAGAGTTGGCAGGCCAATTGAGCACAGTAATACCATGGTCAGTAAACCATTTGCCAGTGGTTTTGGCACTGTGAGCAGGTGCCAGGTCGTGCTGAAGAATGAAATCTTCATCTCCATAAAGCTTTTCAGCAGATGGAAGCATAAAGTGCTCCAAAATCTCCTGATAGCTAGCTGCATTGACCCTGCCCTTGATAAAACACAGTGGACCAACACCAGCAGCTGACATGGCACCCCAGACCATCACTGACTGTGGGTGCTTCACACTGGACTTCTGGCACTTTGGCATTTCCTTCTCCCCAGTCTTCCTCCAGACTCTGGCACCTTGATTTCTGAATGACATGCAAAATTTGCTTTCATCCGAAAAAAGTACTTTGGACCACTGAGCAACAGTCCAGTGCTGCTTCTCTGTAGCCCAGGTCAGGCGCTTCTGCCGCAGTCTCTTGTTCAAAAGTGGCTTGACCTGGGGAATGCGGCACCTGTAGCCCATTTCCTGCACACGCCTGTGCACGGTGGCTCTGGATGTTTCTATCCAGACTCAGTCCACTGCTTCCTCAGGTCCCCCAAGGTCTGGAATCGGCCCCTCTCCACAATCCTCCTCAGGGTCCAGTCACCTCTTCTCGCTGTGCAACGTTTTCTGCCACACTTTTCCCTTCCCATCTGAATCAACGACGTAACTCTAAACACCTGCAAAAGATTCCTGAGGCTTTTAAAAACTCCCAGCCTTGTTCATTACTCAAAACCACAATCATGGGTAAGACTGCCGACCTGACTGCTGTCCAGAAGGCCATCATTGACACCCTCAAGCAAGAGAGTAAGACACAGAAAGAAATTGCTGAACGAATGGGCTGTTCCCAGAGTGCTGTATCAAGGCACCTCAGTGGGAAGTCTGTGGTTAGGTTAATAGCTTGTTTAGAGAATCTTTTCATGATATGCTAATTTTTTGGGACAGGCATTTTGGGTTTTCATGAGCTGTATGCCATAATCATCAGTATTAAAACAATTAAAGACCTGAAATATTTCAGTTGGTGTGTAATGAATATGAAATATATGAAAGTTTCATTTTTATCATTACATTATGGAAAATAATGACCTTTATCACAATATGCTAACTTTTTGAGAAAGACCTGTAATATCTGCAGTCATTGTTCATTTTTGGCTTTGGTCTAGTTTTATGTGAACAAACTTCTCTGTAGATGCATCTTTGCTGCTTTTCCAGTTTACAATGTTTAACTTGTGCAGCGCATGTCAAAATACAAATACACACCTACATACACACACGATTAGTAGTGTGTAGTCAGTTTTTTGTGATGTTTAGAATAGCCAGTATAAACTAGGCTTTAAACCCTATTTCTCCAAACTGAAGCTGCTTAAAGAGCTATCTAAAACAGGTAAGATACTAATTGTGCATGATGTTTCCATAGCACCCCACTTAAAAAATTCTAATTGACCACGATATGTTAGTCAATTATTACAACTTAATAAACAATGAAAATATATTAATTGATATAAATACAGTATATAAATATATTTAGGAAGGACAACTTATAACGGGGCAGCACGGTAGCACAGTTGGTAGAGCTGCCGCCTCTCAGCGAGCAGGTCGCTAGATCAAATCCCGGCTGATTGGTAACTCTAAATTGTCCCTAGGTGTGAGTGAGTGAGCGAGTGAATGGTTGTCTTTTTTGTCTCTATGTGTCCCTGTGATAGACTGGAGACCTGTGCTGGGTGTCCCCCGCCTCTCGCACAGAGATGGCTGGATATGGACAAGAGTGATCCTCTTGACCCAAAAAGGAAGAAGCGGGTAAAGGTCATGGATGGATGGATGGATGGATGGATGGATGGATGGATGGATGGAAGGATGGATGGATGGATAGATGCAACGATGGAAGGATGGATGGACTACTTATAAAAATAAGCCAAAACATTTGTTTTTGTCCTCACATGTGTGGCCCCTGCAGGTTGGACATCACTTTAATGTTGACATAGTTGACTCTTTGAGGGTTCAGGCCATCCAGTTCAACACTTCCAAACATGCTGTAGAAAATAAAACGCATAAAACACGTTAGTTGTCAGTAAAATCTGACAGCACTACGATGTTTCTCACCTTTTTCTGCTGAACGCGTTGACTATTGACCCGTTCAGTAACACAGTGACGTTACCACAGGCCATTTCTGCAAACTGAAGCAAGAGTGAAGAAAATTCAGTAAGTGCTTTCTGCAGCAACTAATGTGTTAAAAAAAGTGTGTTAGGGAAAAGAACAGAACGTTCTGGAAGTGATGACTTGGGAAATCAAACTCACCGTTTTTGAGGCCTGCTTCCACAAAGAAAACACTGGATGAGTTCTACATGTGGACCATTCTGGACAGGAGTTGAAATCAAAGTCTGCATCAAATAAACATGTATTATAATTTTTGATCAAATCAAATATATATGCACATATAGAGCCCAGATATTAGATTAGAGCTCTGACTTAGTTGCTAACTCTGCTGTATAGGGTGCCGTTTGTAAAGATACACAGTCAAAAATTAACAGCAATATTTTGGTTTATTTAGCCTTTCATAAGAAAAAAAATATTTTTTTTCCCCAAAGTCATAGTTTCACCATGTTATTCATTTGGCCTGTCACAATAACAAATGTTGCTGGGCGATTAATTGTCTCAAAAATTATTGCGATAAATTATATTATTGCTTGAAATTTGACAATAATCAGTAATTATTGACAAATTTAAGAAGAAATGTTGGTTAATTTTTGTGTGTAGTACCTTTATTGAGCACTGGATGACAGTATAAGACTGAGGCCCCTTGACATGACATGGGCTGGCTCTCCTTCCTGTTTTTCTGTTCTTAAAATGGCGGACTCTCGGCGTGGTTTGAGCTCTTTAGCATAGAATTTTTCACACAAAACTTTTAATAAAAAATCGATAAACAAGTTCTCAGCTACTTTTTGCTGAGAAAAATAACTTTAGATGAAGGTACAGGTCTCAACCGTGAATTTTGAAGCTTTGACAAGACTGAGGTTTTTTTTTGCCAAGGTCAGCCTGTTAGCTTAGCTTGTAGCTTAGCTTCACAGCTTAGCTGCTTTTAACAATCCAAAAATGCAATTTTGGACGGTTAAAATGGATTTTAAAGAGAAAGGGAGGATTCAGTGAAGAGCACTGGAGTTGAGCTTTTTGTCATCCAGTGTCTTCAGTAGAAAGAGAGACACGAAGAAATGATCTAGCTGATAAACAGTGGTGGGATGTAACTAAGTACAAATACTTCGTTACTGTACTTAAGTACATTTTTCACGGATCTGTACTTTACTTAAGTAGAGATAAATGTGGGTACTTTATACTTTTACTCCACTATATTTTACATCAAGTTTCTGTACTTTCTACTACACTACATTTCTATAATGTGTTGCATTACAAGTTACATTCATGTTGCGGCTTTTTGATTTGTTTGTTACTTTGAAAGTAACAAATGGTGAGAGGGGATCTGGTCCATTGAATCACTGCAAAGTGGGCAGGTAACATTAGGCCCGCCTTCAAGAAGAGCTGGGCCAGTGACTTATATTCTAGTATATATGTCACTGAGCTGGGTGCACCTGCATCACCATTAACACACCCAAAATGTATTCCACCACAAGAGAGTCAGCCAGAAGATACACACCACCCATGGTCTTATTGAAAGACTGCTCAGTACAACAGGACAGATTCTCTCTCCCAAAAGAGTCAGACTGGACTCAGAAAACTTTGAAAACCAACTTTTTCTGAACTCGAACAAGAAATTCTTGCTGCAATATTAAAATGTCAGTTCATGATGTTAGGACAGGAGACAAGAGATGTCTCCAAATGTCTCGACACTCGGGTCCAAGTTTTAAAAATGGTGTTAGGAAGTTAAAATATTGTTCAATATTGACCCATTACAAAGTGGACTAGACAGTATTTAACTAGAGTTGATGACAAACTGGAGTTGAAATATCAGTGGAAATGATCAGAGCCTGTTCCTTTGTTAGTTGTGTCTAATGCTCCTTTTGTTCAGTCAGACAACTTTTACTTAAATGTGTTTTCTGCAGTTAAAATGACACATTGGTTTTGACTTGTGTTAAATAAAAACTTTAAAGGTACAATCATTCCTCTTTCTTATTTTGCTTAATGACATTTAACTCTGCCGGTCATCACTGAAATTCTGATGCACAGAATTACAGGTCCAGGTGTGAACTGTGTCACAGAGTAAACACAATAAAAACATGTATTATCTGCAGCATTGTTCATTAAAACAACATTATTAATGTACTACAGAAAATATACATATGGTAGGCAGACTTAAAGATATTGTAGACCATTGCATTAGGTAATACATTCAACAAGTACTTTTACTTTAAGTATATTAAAAGCAAGTATTTACTTTTACTTAAGTAAAAATGTTAATGTGGTACTTCTACTTTTACTAGAGTATTTTTGTCTGTTTATTTGTACTTTTACTTAAGTACAGTGTTTGAGTACTTTCACCACCACTGCTGATAAATGAAAATGAAGTCGATAATTTTCATTTATCATGCGATTAATTGGTTTATTGTTTATCGCAACAGACCTATTATTCATACATTTATAAATGTCATAGTTCCAAACTAAATATTTAATTTACAAGCTAAATATTTAGTTTACAAACTAAATGCATAACTTGCAAGTTAAATATTTAGTTAGCGCATTAATTTTGGAAATTAAATGTTTAGCTTGGAAAATAGTTTAGGAATTAAATTTTGTTGCACTTTCTGACATCCAGTGATTTTTCAAGTGGCTTTATTGCTTTGCCACATGGCACCCCAAAAAGTTAGTTTTTCTTCTTCTCTTTATTTGCACTCACAAACATTCAACTCACCACAAGTGCCCTCCGGTGGTGCAAAAGTGCCACTACATACAAGTGTTACCTTGAGGTTTTGGACATCTCCAAGTTTAAGTACAGACAAAAGATCAAACTATTGCTTATAAACCAAACATACAAAAACACAAACATATTGTGGGGTGTCCACATTTTACAAACAGCACAAATAATTTACCTTTGCCACAAATGTTTAGCTTAGAAATTAAATATTTAGCTTGGAAATTAAATATTTAATTTAAACCTAAAAATTTAGTTAACTAACTGAATATTTAACTTACAAGTTAAGTATTTAGTTTGTAAACTAAATATTTAGCTTTTAAATTAAATATTTAGTTTGGAACTATGACATTTATTAATGTGATGGTGAAATTATGACTTTGAAAAAAAAAAAAACTTTATTTTTTTTCATATAAAAGGTTAAAAATAAGCCAAAAATATTGCTGTTAATTTTTGACTGTGTAACTTTACAAATGGTACCCCATACTGCTGGCAATGTAAACATTACATTTTACATTTTAAAATCTAGTGTTTCACGAAAAAGGCCCGGTATAAAATATTAAGAAGACTAAAAAAATTCGCCTAATTTTTACACTTAATTAAATTTTTTATGTTCTTTTTTTTTGTAAGATACTCAACAAAGAGCATGTTTTTTCCTTTTTTTTTTTAAATTCTTAGTCTTGTAATATCTACAACCCACCTACCAGAGTCTTCCTCCTGACCACACCAGATGAGGTCATTGAACATGTATCCAACCAGCGTGTCTTCTAGTGTCCAGAAGTGTTGAAAAACGGCTGCGAAGGCATGCATCAGCTTCCTGGTTTTACTCCAGAAGAGGAACTTAACAGAAGAAGGAAAAGCAGCATATTGCTGCAGCTATTAATCAAACTCTTTGGATCTTTCTGGGAGCTAAAATTCAAGCCATGCTCACCGTGTCACATGGCCACATCTGTGGCATTGCATTGAACAACTGATGATAATGTTCCTCTGTCACGTTACATGAGGACTGATGGACAACTGCTTCCTCAAACTGTCTCCAGATGTCCTCGCAGTCATACCTACACGGACAGAGGACAGGGAGGAATCAGACAATAAAATGATAGTATTCATCGTGTGGCCGAAAATAAACTGGTAACAGCTAAAACAAAATTATCTTGATTATTGTCAGAAAAAACAAAATAGATTGCCAGTATTTTATATAATGATAAAGATGTTTGCTTACCTTTTTAAGGTTTTGTTTGAGATAAAGTTAACATCTGGATTTAGAAAAGTGGAAATTATTTTTCTCCTTTTAAGAGATTTTATAGATGCAGAATGTTGACAATCATCTCACTTTATCACTTGAATGTTCTTGAACAAATCTAACTGCAGCTGCTGAGAGCCCTTGTCTTTGTGCATGCTTGTTTGTATGTGCTGTTAGCAAAATATCTCATGAACCAATGGTCATATACAGTATGCAGGAAACTCTCAAAGTAATCATTGGATTTACATCTACAAGTGATTTTTTTTTTAAGTCAACCTCATTCATAACTAGTTAATATTATACGTGCACTGGTTAACTAGTAAGGCCTAGAAAGCTTAAACTAGTCAAATTGTGGGCATTTCCAATTAACTAGTCAACATTTAGGCACACAAGTCAACGAGTTAACATATTTTTACTTGATTTGTTAACCAGAAAGAATAAAACACATTAACTAGTCAAATGAACATTTTAGAGTTTACTAGTCAACTTTTAGTAAAATTTCTTTGTCGGACTGGTCAACAAATGTTCACATTAGAGAATCACTAGTTAACTAGTGGGCATGTATTTGTGTCGACTATCTAACAGGTAAGGTTTTTTGATGCTTTCTATTAAATTCAAATTCAATTAAAAAATACTTTATTAATCCCAAAGAGTAATTAAATGTTGTAACTCGTTATCCTTGTTTCATTAAGAGATGATGCTGATGGCTGTAGGCAGGAAGGATCTCTTGTAAAAGTATGTCCCACAATGGAGACGAATAAACTGGCTGCAGATGCTGTCTGATCCGTCCACCCAGACTCAGCTGGCGGCTCGGTTCCTCCGGGCTGCAGGACCACCCAATACCGGACAGAACTCCTCCCAGAGCGATGGCCACTCCTTCCAGCAGCCTGCCGAGCTCCTCTTTGCCACAGACAGTCGGCTGCAGGTGCCGGGGTACGATCCCAGTCCTTCTGCTGTCAGGAGCCACGTTTCTTGCCAGTTCCAGGATCTCCTTAGGAGATCTTAGAATCTCATTGGTCCGGCACTCGAGCACAGCTGGCAGGTAGATGGGAATGCATCCACAGAGCCTCTTTTTCAACTCATTTGAGATTTGAGGTTGTAGTTGAGATAATAGCTTTTGAGATGTTAATCAGCTGCTCCCGGTTGTAAAATAAAAACAACTTGTTGTCATGGTTACGCATCATAACAAATGTCCAAAAGTCCAGCTGCACGGCATCCGATACCAGAGGAAACAATCGTCAAAAAAAGTGATTTACATCCAGAAAAAGAGGAATTAAAGTTTCCAAAAGCAAAATCTCAGAATGAAAGTAAAAGAGCTACTTCAACATGCAGCCGCCTCGAGCGGCACAATAGCAGAACTGTTTTAGCAGATGGGGTGTAGAATTCTAGTTAGCTTGTATGACACAGACATTGACTAGTTTGGTCCAGTGGTCTACAAGTGTATTTTAAGGTCAACTATATTTGGGACTTTTAGGCTACTAGTTTTATTAGGGGACTGGTATGACTTCAGGTCTAACTGGTTGGTCAAAAGTGCCACTAGCTGTCAAAAAAGTGCTACTGGTAAACATGTTTCAATCAACCTTTATTTATACAGGTAAATCCCATTGAGCCTCGAGGACTCATTTACAAGAGAGACCTGATTTCAACAAAGAAAGATGACAACAATGGACAACAGCAACAACAATAAACAGTTACACACACAAAAAAAAAAAAACATGCTACAGTTTTTTTTTTTTTTTTAACAAATAGGATGGCTAAAAGGAAAAGGTAACAAAACAAAAAACAGCTAGATTCCAAGACAAATGTAGAAAACTGACAACAGGAACATGTCAGCATTGGACCCTGCCAGGTGTCCAACAGATTCTTAAAGACACTTAGAGAGGTCAAGGTCGAGCGCTTCAAATCTTTTTGTAAGATATTCCAGGAAACAGGAGCGGAATAGGAGAAGGCCCTTTTGCCTAGTTCAGTCCTCATTGAGGGAACACTGCAGGTAATAATGTCCTGAGAGCGCACTCCGTAGCTGCACTAACGCAGAGACATGTAGGAGGAGATGTATGAAGGCAACAGACCAAGAAGTGATTTAAAGATGAAAATATACCAGTGAGAGAGTCTGTGTGAAGTTAATGATGTCCAGTTAACCAGTGACTACAGTGTGCAGTGGTGGGTACGATAATCACAGCCAGTTATGAATCTTAGTGCACCATGATAGACAGCATCCAACATCTGCAGGGTTCTTGTAGGAGCGTTCATGTAAATAATATCACCATAACCAATTGAGGGAAGGAAAGTCACAGATACAAGGCGGTTTCTAGCATTCAGGGTTAGACAGGATCTGTTTCTGAAAAAGAAACCCAGTTTAACTTTCAGTTTCTTTATCAAGTTTTCCACATGGAGCTTAAAAGAGAGATGTGAGTCGACCAAGATACCCAAATATTTATAGGAATCAACAAACTCAATGGGGACACCAATTGAGGATAAAATCGGAGGAAGAACTGCTGGGACCAACTTCCTATTTGAAAAAAGCATCCCTTTGGTTTTGTCGGCATTTAGGACAAGTTTGAGGCGAAACAAATCAGTCTGGATGTAGTTGAATGCAGATTTCAAAAGCTGGAAAGCCTTAGCAACAGTTTTAGCTCGACAATAAACAACTGTGTCGTCAGCATAGAAATGTATGGATGCATTAGGGATGTTTTTACCTACATTATTTATGTAGATTGTAAAGAGGGTAGGTCCTAAGACTGAGCCTTGTGGTACACCATTGTTGACTGTTAAATAACTGGAGGAAGTACCATTATGTTGAACACATTGCCAATCTATCTGAAAGATAGTTAGAGAACCAACCAATGGTGTGTTCTGAGAAACCGATTTCTGAGAGTTTATGACACAAGATGTTATGATCCACAGTGTCAAAAGCTTTAGACAGGTCTAAGAAAAGTGCAGCACAATAATTCTTAGCATCCAGTGCTTCAACAACGTCATTAAGAACCTTCAGTGAAGCAGTGGTTGTGCTGTGTTGTTTCCTGAAACCAGATTGATGTGGAGGTAAGATGTTAAATGAGTCCAGGTAATTTTTGATTTGAGAGTTTATCAGTTTTTCTAGAACCTTGGCTAAAATACAGAGTTTAGAGATTGGTCGATAGTTGTTCAGTGAGGTGGGGTCACCTCCCTTCAGCAAAGGAAGAACAAAGGCTGTTTTCCAAGTGTCTGGGATGGAGTTTTGTCTTATGGAGAGATTGAAGATGTGGGTCACAGGGACTGTGATGATATGAGCGGCCAGCCTTAAGAAATAAGGTGGAAGTTCATCTGGACCTGCAGATTTTTTAGGATCAAGATCTATTAAAAGTTTATTGACCTCACTGACTGAGAATGGAGAAAAAGAGAAGCTGTGATTAACTGAGGATTGACTTGTAGGAGGGATTTGATTTGTAGAAGTTTGGTTATTAAGTGAAGTGGCTGATTTTCTGTTAGTAACTGTGTCAAATAAAGAACCAGAAGCAACAAAATGTTTGTTGAGACAGTTCAGGATCTCGTGCTTATTTGACACAGGAACAGAGTTAACGAGAAGTTGTGATGGGAGGTCAGATGATTGGGGGTTGCCTGAGAGAGATTTGATGGTTTTCCAGAATCTGTTAGGGTCATTTAGATTTTTGGAGGTCTGAGATAAGAAATAGTTGCGTTTGATGAACTAGTGTGAGTAAATGTGCAAATACTGCAGTGTAGTGGTGAACTAGTGGGTTAAAATGCTGCTTGACATCAAGAATATCAAATAAATACACAACCAGCTTGCCACAGTTCGTACAAAGTGCAATACCTTACGCTTGGGTTGACCAGAGTGGTGTAAGTGAAACATCTTCCAATCACGATGTGCTTAATGTTGGGGGTGGTCCCAAGCTGTGCTCCTACCTGCCTCCTGCAGAGCTGAGGTGTACTAAACCCTTTGAAATGGTCACAAAGGCCAAATAAAGGCAACATTATTTATTACAAGTGAGAGAGGTTCTTTAAGTAAAGGAATGATAATTTAAAAAATGTGGGAAAGTCAGAAGGAATCACTTACAAATAGTAAAGCTGATTATTACAAAGGAACCAGATGTGACGAGAGGCATGATGGGGAATGCAAACCAGATGTTTTCAGAGGCCACCTTTTAGGTTGATGAGCTTTAAAAAAGAAAACATACCACAAGTTTGAATGTGTCTCCAGGGCAGCAGGGTTAGAGCTGATAAGGTGCGTGGGAGTGACAAAAATCTAACTAAGTATTTTACCACATTCTCTTTTTTTCAGAGGAGTCCAAACGAGCAACTTGAGAAAGACTAACAATTGGAAAGTATTAACACCACTGATGCTACAATTTTTTAAAAATTCCAATTATGATTTTGACCGAGGTACATAAATCATGTGTAGAGATGGGACTACTTTCCTGAAGGACAACCCTAACTGCAGACTTTTCTCTGCTGGACTTTATGGAGACGTTTCTCTTCAGTGCAAAACACTTGAAAGCTCAATTCAAAGACCATGTGGAACAAGATTTTCTGGTCTAATGACATTTTAAACATTAAGCACCTCTCATCCCTGCCCAGCACTATTCCCACAGTGAAGCATGGTGGTGGCTGCAGGGACTGGGAGACCGGTCAGGACTGAGGGAACGATTAATGAAGCAAAGTACAAAAGTATCCTCAGTGAAAACCTTTGTCATTGTGGTCAGGACCTCAAAGTGAGTCAAAGGTTCACCTCCCAACATGACAATGACCCACTGAGAGTCCTTAACCTGGCTGAGCTTGAGAGCATTTATATAAAAAAGCATAGCAGAAAATCCCCCAGTCCAGGTGAGCAAATTTTGTTGTACTAAGCCCAAAACAACTCAAGGCTCTAATTTTCCCCAAAGACTTCAACTCGGTAGAAAGTAAAATGTATGAATACTGATGTAATGTGAGGTTTCAGCATTTTCTTTTTGATAAATGTGCTAATTTTTTTAATTTCTGTTTTCACTTTGCCATATTGAAGCACTGAGTGTAGGTTAGTAGCATCAGTTGCAACCAGTGGTGTAGTCTATGTGATACGTGGGTATACGGAGTATACCCATTAGAAAAGCTTGGGAATCCCAGTATACCCACTTAAATGTCATTGTCAACACATTTGGAACATTTTATAAGACACACTGAGTTGGTTCAACCTGTTTTTTGTATAATTAATACTTCTGTACTTACCACTTAATACTTGAACATGTTTTGCTACTGCTTTATAAATTCTACAGCATGTTTTTAATAGAAATCCAACTGTTGTACAAAGTTTGTTGTACATTTATTCAAATATAAACATCAGAGAAATTTTGAAATGTTCAATATATACTATGCAATGTTCAATATGATCTGTGTTTTGATCCTGTATGCTCCACACTGGTTTGTCGTCATTATCTGCATCGTTTTTATGTCTATACTCTGATTTACCTCATTTTGTATTTTGCTTTGTGTGTTACCTGTTGTTTTGTCTGTACAGCACTTTGGTTGGCCTTGTAGCTGTTTTAAGTGCTTTATAAATAAAGTAGTATGGTATGGTAATATGCTTAAAAATCGAAATAAATTGAATATCACATTGTACTAACCGGTACACTTTGGTTTCTAAGCACAGTATACCCAGTACAAAAACGTAGACTACACCACTGCAATGTAACACAATAACAAAATGAAGAAGGTATGACTATTTTTTAAACCTAATGAACTAATAGAATTTTGTTTGAAGGATAAACGTCTTTTAAAAACTGTATCATTTTAAACAAAACAGGCAAATGCAAATATTTAAGTCAATTATTGGAAAAGTGTCAAAGCTCACCCCTTTTCGTTCAGAGTACGAAACTGCAGACGATCCCACGGTTGTGATGCCGGACTCCTCATTTGTTTCCAACATATCTGGTGTAATTCCAGGGTTTGATGTAGACCTTCCACTCTGGAATAACTAACATAAAAGCTGACTCTTATGAGTTAACAAACACATCACCCTGTCCACGCTAAGACCTCCAAACACAAATGAAGAGGGTTTCCTCGGGCATCCTGTTGCAAAGAAAAGATCCTCATGACTTCCATTATGGTGCTGGTAGGAAACTCCCAGAACAAACAGTTCATATCTGTTCTCTCAGACATTTGCACCACAGACTGAAGAATGCTTTCTGATATGACAACATCCACTGTAAATTATATATTTTAATTATTTCATTCAAAGACAAATTTATTTTGTTTGAGTCTGATTGCAGTTATTTTCATTTTTTTTTAAATTCAAATATGCAGTACATTTAAACAGCTTCCCTTTTTTTCTAAGTCACAATCAGTACCGTGTTGTAAAACTAGCTGCAACAGTTAATGCAACACAAACCTAACGCTCCAGTGTTACTTCAAAGACTTTAAAGGACTGCATGCAGGTTTCTTAGTCGTTCCAAAAGCTCAAATTAGAACGAGAAGGCTTTTCTGGAATCACCTCCCTGTTTCAGTATGAAACACTTCCTCTGCTTGATTTGACAGATCTCACATTTATTATAAGTTTACATTCATAGTTACTGTTTTATTAAACATCCTGCGTCAATTGCTTTTTTTTTTTTTCCAAGGTTGAGCACTTTCAGTTGCCTTTGCATTTAAAAAGTGCTGTTTGAATAAAGTTAACTTGAGTTTATACTCGACATTACCGGTAAATGCATTTTATGCTACAACAGATTACATAGGCTTATGAAAATGTCTTAAACAACTTTATTAGTCTTTCAGGACGTGTCCAGCACAGCTGTTGTCAGACATCTTATATAGAACACCTTGTACAAACCGGATTCCAAAAAAGTTGGGACATTAAACAAGTTATGAATAAAAACTGAATGCAATGATGTGGAGGTGCCAACATCTAATATTTTATTCAGAATAGAACACAAATCACAGATCAAAAGTTTGAACTGAGAGAATGTATCATTTTAAGGGAAAAATCTGTTGTTTCCAAATTTCATGGCGTCAAAAAATCCCAAAAAAGTTGGGACAAGTCCATTTATACCACTGTGTGGCATCCCCCCTTCTTCTTACAACACTCAACAGACGTCTGGGGACAGAGGAGACCAGTTTCTCAAGTTTAGAAATAGGAATGCTCTCCCATTCATGTTTAATACAGGCCTCTAACTGTTCAATCGTCTTGGGCCTTCTTTGTCGCACCTTCCTCTTTATGATGTGCCAAATGTTCTCTATAGGTGAAAGATCTGGACTGCAGGCTGGCCATTTCAGTACCCGGATCCTTCTCCTACGTAGCCATGATGTTGTGATTGCTGCAGAATGTGGTCTAACATTATCGTGTTGAAAAATGCAGGGTCTTCCCTGAAAGAGATGACGTCTAGATGGGAGCATATGTTGTTCTAGAACCTGAACATAGTTCTCTGCATTAATGGTGCCTTTCCAGACATGCAAGCTGCCCATGCAACAAGAGCTCATGCAACCCCATACCATCAGTGATGCAGGCTTCTGAACGGAGCGTTGATAACAACTTGGGCTATCCTTGTCCTCTCTTGTCCGGATGACATTGCGTCCCAGTGTTCCATAAAGAACTTCATATCGTGACTCATCTGACCACAGAACAGTCTTCCATTTCGCCGCACTCCATTTGAAATGACCCCTGGCCCAGTGCAAACGTCTGAGCTTGTGGAGCTTGCTTAAAAATGGCTTCCTCTTTGCACTGTAGAGTTTCAGCTGGCAACGGCGGATGGCACGGTGGATTGTGTTCACTGACAATGCTTTCTGGAAGTATTCCTGAGCCCATTCTGTTATTTCCTTGACAGTGGCATTCCTGTTTGAGGTGCAGTGACGTTTAAGGCCCCGGAGATCACGAGCATCCAGTACAGTTTTACGGCCTTGACCCTTACGCACAGCGATTGTTCCAGATTCTCTGAATCTTTTGATGATGTTATGCACGGTTGATGATGATAACTTAAAAGTCTTTGCTATTTTACGCTGGGTAACACCATTCTGGTACTGCTGCACTATCTTTCTGCGCAACAATGGTGGAATTGGTGATCCTCTTACCATCTTGGCTTCTTAAGAGCTCTTTTTATACCCAGTCATGTTGTCAGTTGACCTAATTAGTGTTAATTGGTCTTCCAGCTGTTCATTATATGCTCAATTTCCTTTTTCCAGCCACTTATTGCTACTTGTCCCAACTTTTTTGGGATTTGTTGACACTGTGAAAATTTGAATCAACATATTTTTCCTTTTCCTTTTTCCATAAGGGTGTCCATATGTGCTCTTGGCACCAGGACACCCTAGGCCGCAGTTCGATGATCGACTTTGTCATCGTCTCATCTGATCTGCGGCCACATGTCTTGGACACTCGTGTGAAGAGAGGGGCGGAGCTGTCAACTGATCACTACCTGGTGGTGAGTTGGTTCCGATGGTGGGGGAGGATGCCGGTCAGACCTGGCAGACCCAAACGTAGTGTGAGGGTTTGCTGGGAACGTCTGGCAGAGTCTCCTGTGAGACGGAGTTTCAACTCCCACCTCCAGGAGAACTTTGAACATGTTCCGAGGGAGGTGGGAGACATTGAGTCTGAGTGAACCATGTTTCGTGCCTCTATTGTGGAGGCGGCTTACCAGAGCTGCGGCCGCAAGGTTGTCGGTGCCTGTCGCGGCGGCAACCCTTGAACCCGATGGTGGACACCGTCGGTGAGGGATGCTGTCAGGCTGAAGAAGGAGTCCTATCGGGCCTTTTTGGCCTATGGGACCCCGGAAGCAGCTGATGGGTACCGGCAGTCCAAGCGACATGCGGCTCGGGTGGTTGCTGAGGCAAAAACTCGGGCATGGGAGGAGTTCGGAGAGGTCATGGAGAACGACTTCCGCACAGCTTAGAGACGATTCTGGTCCACCATCCGGCGTCTCAGGGGGGAAAGCGGTACGCCACCAACACTGTTTATAGTGGGAGCGGTGTGCTGCTGACCTCAACTCGGGATGTTGTGTGTCGGTGGGCGGAATACTTTGAAGACCTCCTCAATCCCACCGGCACGTCTTCCACTGAGGAAGCGGAGCCTGGGGACTCTGGGTCGGGCCCTCCAATCTCTGGTGCTGAGGTCACCGAGGTGGTTAAAAAGCTCCTCGGTGGC